ACAATAATAATTCATTTCCAATATAATCACACAAAAAGAATTATAATCCATTCCGATATTATCGCACAATTACAAATTTTAACCTAACTATCATTGATGTGTCCATTGATTTGTTCATCTAATTTAATCTAACCGCCCTATCATGATAATAATGCATACTGACTTGGAGAAAAGTTGTCGACAAAAGTTAATGGAAAAGTGTGCTTGACTTGTTGGAACGTGCCTAATTTTTTTGACTTCCCATCCACCTTAATTTCTAGATACAATAATTATTTTTTTCAAAAATTTTGTATAGTGAATTAATCAAATTGAAGTTAAAAATGGCTTGATCAATTTAGATTTGATGGTGGCTTTCGTCGTCGTGTTCTTATTGCTAAAATATCGATATCATGCATGACTTGTACCAGAGAAAATTCATGCTAATTTAATCAAACGTTAAAGATACATATGATGGCGAGATCGAGATAGATATGTTGACGCCACCATCTTTATCTTTGAATTTTTTATATTTTTGGTTAAATCTTGACCAATATAGAGACGTTTTATATTTATCAAGACTATGTGTTTAAGAAATTAAGTAGTATAGCACCGTAATTATCTCCACAAACATGGAGTAAAATTCATAATTATTAATTAAAGATAAAATAAAATTAACACCCAAAAAAATCAGTGACAGAGTTTGACTTAACAACCAAGTAACTAATAAAGTATAATAAGCTGTAACGCGTTTTTTGGTGAGTTATCCTTTTGATGTGAATCCGTAGAATTTATTTCTAGTTTTTACCAACAATTGCTTAGAATCCGTTCCAAATTCTATCTTCTATTAATGATTTAATTTCTGTTTGATTTTTGCTAGAAATAAGATTCTAGTACATTTCGATAAAGTTTAATTTGATACCTTTATCAATTTGACAACACATAATTACAATATTACGTGACGTCTAATTCATATGCTTGTATAATTTTACCTGGGTTTAACAATCTTTTTCTGTATAGATTTGTAGTCGGACAAATATAAGATTGGACGAAATTAAACACGATAACGAAGAAATATTTGGTTTTGATTATTATGTTAATTTTTTTCCATAAGTAATTAAAACTATAAGGTCAACTTGTTTCTAGAATAAGAATAAAAGGCAAATAAATATATACACGGCAATTGCGGGTCACCTAGACAACTAACATTAAAAAGAATGCAGAAAATCAATGGTGAATTAATGGCAAGAAAATCTCGAATTTGCCTATTCTTCTGCAATTACATATGACTAAGAACTCAACATAAATAAATAAATTAATCTCTGATTCTCTCTCTTAATTAAAAATTCAAAATATATTTTGAAAAATGGAAACTTTTTTATTAGAACCTCAAACTTCTCACTTGCAATTAAATTTCTCATTCAAAATCTCTGATCCTATCTATGTTTACGTTCTTTGCATGCTTCCCTTTTGAAAAAGGTATTTATGTATATCTTATTATATATGATCTCTTCAGTTACTATGAATATACATACTTAGTTATTTTCAATATAAATACAAAATACTCTTCAGCAATTAGCATGTAACCAATCTTTGATTCTTCTGCTGAGTTTTCTTTGGAAAGAGGGTTTCGAAGAACGAAAAGAGATTTGTTTTGTTCTTGGAGTCAGTGATACTTGAAATCAATGGCAATTCAGCAGTTGTATTCGGAAAATCTTGAATTTCCTTCAAACGGAGATGAAGATTTTATAGAAAATTCTTGTGGATCGAATCTATTCTTTTTGAATACTCAACAACAACAATTCATGCAGTTGCAAAATTTCTCTCAGAAAAATCAGAATTTTTCGCTTGACAATTCTTTTTCTCTGAGTCTTGTCAACGAGATTGAGAAACAGAAGCTCGAGATTGATCAGTTTGTAACCTTACAGGTTTGTTTTTTAATCCATATATTCCATTTTATTGGAATCTTTACGCATCCAATTGTATTGATTTTTGGAGGGCTTTTTTGGAACAGAATGACAGATTGAGATTAGCTTTGCAAGAGCTGAGAAAGCAGCAAATATCTTATTTCTTGAAAAAATCCGAATTAAAGACGCAATTTTTACTCCAACGTAAGGATGAAGAAATCGCGAAAGCAGTTAACAAAGCAATGGAGCTTGAAAATTTGGTGAGAAGAATGGAGACTGAGAATCAAACGTGGCAAAGAGTGGCCAAGGAAAAAGAAGCAATGGTCATGTCATTGAAGAACACAATTGAACATCTCAGAGAGAGTCATTTGCCAAACAATAACGTGGCAGAAGATGCAGAATCATGTTGCGACATAATCGAATACGAAGAAGAAGATGGAGAACGGAGAATGAGGAATATGGTTTGTCAAAGATGCAATTATCGTAATTCTAGTGTAATTATACTGCCCTGTAGGCACCTTTGTTCATGCAAAGATTGTCATGCTTTTCTCAAATCATGCCCTGTCTGTAGAACGGCAAAGAAAGCAAGCATAGAGGCTTTGTTTTGATCTCTTTCTTTCTTTTCTTTTTCTTTTTTTTCTTTGTTCTAAGATAATGAAAGATTTTGCTCCCAATTTCCATTAATCTTCTTTTTCCTTTTTGTTAATTATTTAATTCTTGGCCATTAGTTTGGTTTTCAACTTTCCGTGGCTTCCCCTGAGATGTTTCGTTGTTTCTTTTATGCCAGCCTCGTTATTTTTGGTTGACTAATAGCCATGAAACCTAGTTGTAGGAAACCACAACTTCACCAAAAAAATATTTGTATTGAAGACCCTATTCTGGACTCATTAAAAGGCCTCGTTGATTTTGGGTCAGCCTATATCGTGTCGATTTTTGGGATGTTGCATGTTGGTTCACCTAATCTTACGTGGAAATTACATCCCACGTGATTTTCAACTTCAAAAATCAAGTTTAAAAGAAAATTATTCAAAAAGCAAGTTATAATTCAAATTTTTAATACTAATGATAATTATTATTAAATCAATCAATCAATCAATCTCCCTCTCCCTCTCCCTCTCCCTCTCCCTCTCCCTCTCTCTCAAAACCCTACTCCAATAATCACTCCCTCTCGCCAAGAGCTACATTCGCCCCTGACAACCACCTTCATTCCATCTTCAATATCGCATCCTCCACTGCCCTTCAACCTTCATTCACTACTGCACACAGCATTGCTCGCAACGATGATGGTTTTGTGGTGATTCCTTCCTCTTTCGATTTAACACGTTCTGCTTAGTCGAAGTTTAGGGGTTGTTTTTGTTGGTAGTTATTGGTGGTTTACAAATGGTGGTTGTTTTGTAGTTTCAAATGGTGGTTGTTAGTGGTAGTGTTGCAATCAGGGACGAATCTAGGCTTCAAATTCAGCTACGGTGGACCGCAAACATTGAACATTTACTGTCAACAGTCAACGCTTGTGATAGTGAGACATTGTCTTTTATTAATATTTAATTGAATAATATTCAAAAAACCGTATGGACTAAAATTAAAAGAATTAGATACACAATTAAAATTAGAATAAATAGATATGGATTTTCGTTTTCGGTTGAAAAAATCGTTTAATAATATGCAAAAATGCCCCAATTATTTTCAATTAGAATTGATTAAAAAACAAAGCACACATGATTGAATTGAGCCCAACATCTTCTCAATTGAATTTTTTTTTTTCACTTATCCTAAATTCCTAAACATAAATTCCCAAATGACAAATCAAAACTCATAAATGATTTATAACTCATAACTCAATGACTCATACAACATAAATTATTTATCCCAACAATAGATTCACAATTCTCATTTTAATGTCAAATTGCCAATTAACTCATCGAACATAAATCATTATTCATAAATCATAAAAATTAACACCAAAACCAAATTTTGAAAACAATGATTTTCAGAATTAGAACTATTTTTTATGCCAAAATAAAATTATTTTTCAAAGTCTTAAAAGAATAAAGAGCAATTCTTAGATTATCCAAATTTGAATTTTATAAAATAAATTGATTAAACATAATGATAAAAGTATGTATATTATGAAGTAATAATTTGAGTGAATAAATTTTTTAAAGAAATTATTTTGAAAACGAAAACTATAGTTATTTAGTTATTATTTATTATAACAAAAAATTAATTAAAAAACTGGATGAATATAGAATTAAACCCCATACCTCTTACATACAAAGAAGAACCCCTCTACCATGTGAGCTGCCCCTGCTTTAGTGAAGGCCGGTGCAATATTTTATTAATATTTAATTATTCTGTTTAAAAATTAAATGGCGTAACGCTAGCCAACGGAATCGAACCTGTGTATTGTTAATGCAAAGGCCAGGACGCTGCCACCCAAGCCGCGTTCCCGTTTTGTTAAATCTTTTGCACAAAACCATATATTTATAAATATTTAACACAAATTTTCAATAATTTTTTTCTCAGCGGATCCAGCACGGCGGCCACGCCAACTCGCCAGGTGCTAGATCCGCCCCTGGTTGCAATGGCAGTGGTGTTGGCGGTGCAACATTCGATTGGCAGTGGTGTGGTGGTGTGAAGATCGTTTGTAATCAATTATTTGGATGATTGCGACTAATAAAATAATCAATTTGTAACCAATAAATAATATTTGATGGATAAAATAAATAATTTGTGATCATTAAATAATATACGACCTAAAAATGTAAGATTGTGACTAAATTTGTAGTTGTAATTAACAATTTGTTAAGTTGTGATCATAAAATAAGTTGTGACCTATAAAATTAGTTATTTATCATCGAGAAATAATGTGTGACCTATTAATTTTATAAGTTGTGATTGATAATAAGTTGTAATCCATAAAATTTGTGATTTGTAATCGAAAAATAATGCATGATCAATTGATTTGATAATTTATGATTTGTGGTGACTAGTATGTAATTGTACCAAGAATTGCATAACATTGTGAATTTAATATATTTAATTATCTATTTAATTAATAAGATATTTTGAATTATCTATCTATTTATTTAATAAAATTTGAATTATGACCTAATTTTTAAAACTTGAAAACAATTTTCTTAATTTCGAAATTGTATATAGGGCCTATTTGAGCCACGTTATTCTAAAAAAATGTATTCTTAAACAGTAATTTGATATCATTTTAACCACACATTCTTAAATAAAATAATATTACACGCAAATTAAAAACTTTTCTTTATTTTTTAACCATACATTTCCTATCGGTACACTATTCAACAATGCATTATTACCAAAATAATGTGGTTCAAACACTCCCATAATTACATATGTATTTTCTCTATCTTATCTCTATCTGGAAGACTATCAAAATTATCCTACGAACGCTAGCAATTTCATGTAACCTAGTTAACCTTTNCATCAAAACTGCTTATATCTTGTTCCCTGTTAGGGTTTGCGTTTTATTGGATGCTGTTTGTAGGTATATATAGTGTTTGAGATGATTTATGCTATTGCCTATTGGTAAAATTCAATTCGGTTGTTTTTGTTGGAAGTTTCAAATTGTTAGAGTTTATTGTTACATGAGACGTCAATTGCTAATTTTTAATGTGTATAGGGGATGTCATGTAATGTTAGATATATTTTGGAAAATACACACACCACTCGTGTTATAATAATAAATTGGAGATCTGCTGTTCTGGAAAAGAAGAAAGAAAATGGTTAAGAAAGTGGAGATATTGGGGTGCGTTGCAATATGTTGAACTGTATTCTACTCCTAAATGTATAGGGTTAGATGCTTAAAGAGAAAAGCTGTTGTTTGCCGACTAGTGAGGTAAACTGACAGAGAAGGAAAATACAAGGGGAATTATAAAAAGAAGGAAAGCAAAGTTGACAATGACGAGTGATGGGAAGATCAACCAGCATAAATGAGTAAATCAGAGAAATGATTTGATTGTTGTAATTAAGAATTAACCTGCTCCAAGGTTTTATTATACTCCCTCATCTCAGTTTGTCAAAGTCTATAATTATGCATGTCTGGAATTAAAAGTGAAACAATTTTTTAGTGATTGGCAATATGTCCCTCTCATGATTTAATGAGGCATTGAAAAATTTTTGTTCGCTCGAGTCTGTGATGAAAATTTTGGTTTTATTGATTCTATTGACTTAAGATCTTGTGTGAAAGTGCTCAAGTCAAAGGTATTACCATCGGATTTTTTGGTACTTTTTTTGTTGCTTTTTCTTTTTCTTTTTTAAGTTAATATATTGTTTTAAGTATGCAGATTGAAGAGTAACGCTCACCACTTAAATCACACTCCACATTCTTCAGTTTTCCTAAATTTTCTTGGATTAGGGGTTTTCCTCAGGTTGCTCATTTATTTTTCTATTCATTTGATGCAGAACGGGAATTAAATTATTGTAAATATGGCATTTTGGAGTAGACTGAAGCGAACGCAACTTATATTTCTTTCAACCCGATTCAAGAGATCGTCTTTTCAGATTCACGGTCCAATTGCTGTTGATAATCTTACTTCACGTACCGGCATTCCGATTATAAATAACTCAAATTCGATCTTGCATAATATCCAATTGCATTTTGCCAACAACGTCAGATTCTTTGCAGCACCCGTTCAGGTACCGATACACAGTGTGTGTGTGTAATTTGAAGTCGTGTACATTAATATCAATGTATTCACTAATTCCACATAAGTTTGTAATAATTCTCTGGAGAATGAAATTGCATTATTTTTTATGCTACGTGTTTCAGGCTAAAGAGAAGAAGGAAGAGAAAGATACCAGTGGGCCTAGATTGAATGAGCAAGTCACGGCCCAGTTCATTAGGCTCGTTACTGATGAAGGTATGGCTTAAAAGATATTGGAATTTTTGTGATAATTATAATAGAAATTAGGTGTTATAAAAGTCCCAGCTTTCTGAATATCGGACTAAGTATTTCGTGATATTGGTCCTATGGGAAGAGT